TATCTCGCTGATTACCTTCGTGCATGCTGGACAACGATCCACGCCCTCCCACACTGAACTTTTTCTTTTCTGAGGAAACGTCACGCTGAACATGATGCATGAATGAACTCTCCATTTCTCGTCGTTTGCGAGGTCTCTTTACAGGGAGAGGGAGAGCATTTGGCAGTGTACCGCGCCAGCTTTCTTCTCCCCTGAAAGAAAAGAAAAGAAAAGCTAAGGGGAAAAAACGAGTAGGGGAAGAGAGGAGGGATACACAAGGAAGGAAGGAGGCGGGACAAAAGATAGGCGTTGCGGGGGGTGGCCCACGGCAACGGAAGAAAAGGAGGCACAGCTGGGTTGGTGGATCTATCAGGAACAGGGAAGGAGTGGGGGCGCCCCACCACACCACCACCGCTGTCACCGCCACCCATCAAGCCAGCCACTCTGGTGAGTGTGAGGGGCGTTGGTTAGCAGTGCACAGATGCATGTGAGGATCATGTGAGCAGAGTAGAGCGGCAAGCGAGCGCATTTCCATCCCGTTCCGGAGCCCTTTTTCCACTTGCGTAGGTTAGGTTAGGGGGAGTACCACCACCACCGCCACCACCATCACTACTGCCCTGTAGCAGTAAAAAGCAAGCACTAATTAGCACGCTTTGCCCCGTCCTGCAAAGTGCAAAGCCAATATGTTAGAGCGAGACGAGATGTGGGGGGTTTAACTTCCTGCTAAAAGAAAAGATAGTAGAATAGCATCATCTCCAAAAAGATTAGTCGTCCATGCATACCATGCCATGCCATGCAATGCACCTACTACCTAGTCCCTAAAAAGACTGTTAGGTGCGCACCTAATAATCAACCCCCCACTGGCCACTGCATTTCACCTCTCCCGGTCGATCGCTGTCTTCTCAGCACCACCTTTCTCCCTCGCAAAAAGAAAACAAGGAGCCTGCCCGTCCAGTGGATTATGCTCGAAAGAGCGTGGCAGCGTAGCTTAGGCTAGGCGCATTCTACAGCTACTACCAGTAGCAGCTCCTGGAGGGAAAGGAAAGGGAAGGAAAGGAAAGGAAAAGTAGCAGCGCAAGTCCCAAACGTGGTTACAGTGGGCTAGCTAGCTATATGCGCATGGCCTGCGCTAGGCTTTAAACCCCCATTTATGGCGCGCCACATGCCACAGTGGCGCTGCTACCTGTGCCGCCTGTCTTCCAGATGATTCCCCTCCGCCCTTTCCGTCCGTCTCCATCCATTCATTTCATTTTCCTGCACGGAAACGGATACGTACCCGCCAAGTCTCCTGCCAGCCCGGCCCAGCCCAGTCTGGTAGTATTCGATCGGCTTTACTGTGGCATGATGGAGATCTACGGAGAGGATCGACGGAACGAAAAGGTTCGTTGGGTTCGATCGGCCGATCGATCCGTCGAGCGCGACGCCCACTGTTGCCGGCAACAGGAGCAACGTGCCGCACTGTGCGGTGGCCGGCGGCGGCGGGCCGGCCAGAGTGGCAGAGCGTCTCCTCCACCGTCAGCTGCGGGTGGCGAGCCAGATCTGGCCGCGCGTCTCCTCGATCGCAACAGTGGCCGCTGTACAGGGGCGCGCGTAGCCCCCGCCCCGGCCGTGCAAGGTGTTTGCGGTTGCCTTGTCCCGGTCAAGCATGGATTTGGGAGGAGAAAGAAAGGAAAGGACTCTCCGGCGCCTGCCGCTGTCGATCGATCGATGGACGCCGATGGGATGTTTCCGTCGGGCCGGGGCTTGGCTGATTATTGCTGCTGCACGAACGTAGCACGTACGTACCAGCTCACGCAGAATGCATGCATGGCTCCGTCCGTCGAGCTAGACAGACACGGCTACAACTGCACGGGCCGAGCTCGCTTAATCTCGTGATGAAATTATGCCCGTGATGTTTCATGTTTTAACGGCGTCAATGGTCCGGGTAATGCAGTATCTGTGTAGTACTAGTACTTGGCACATTATCTGTCTGTGCGCGCCATGACGTCATCAAAAGGCAGCCCACTGTAACTCTGCCCGGCGGCCTTTGCGAAACGACGGGGCAAAAATCCTGGGGAGGGGTCAGGTCAAGCGGAGCTGCAGTAACTCTGCCCGGCGGTCAAACGCGATTGGCCTAATTAATTAAAAAAATTACCTTATCTACCGAAAGGGGGCGTGGCCACTTGCGGGCAGGCACTGTGTTTGACGAGGCCGCCAATGGCGGGCGCGTAACTTTCCCGTTTACCGGTGAGGAGGTGACTTTACTTACCCTCGCCGCCCCCTCTGCCGCGCGAGAGGACAGCCATCCTTATCCGGGCCGCACAGCCTGGCGGGCCGGCCGGCGGCCGAGTAAAATACGCGCCAGTTGCCGCCCTCGCTCGCTCATAAAAAATACTCCCACATTTCCTTATCTGCACACTGCTGAGCGCCACCATTTCTGGTGCCAGCGCGGCGCAGCGCTTAAAAAATACAGGCACTTTTCCGAAGCAACGGAAAAATTAGGTTGATGGGATGCCGTCCTGGTGGCGGCGTGCGTCACGTATTTTGTCGCCCAACGGTAACAAGAGGTCCGATTGGCCCTGGGCTTTTATCCTTTTTCCGTAGTGGGCTGACACGGAGAAATGATGAGAAATATACTAACAAGCAGGGGAGGGGAGGGATAATGCGGCGTCCTTTTCACCCTGTCGCCCGCTGCGCTGGGTTCAACGTGCGTGAAAACCGGTCGTGCCGTGCGTGGCCTACCCTACCTGGGGGTGAGGGTAGGTAGCTTTCGGGCCTCGAGATTCTTTTCACCGTGGACGTCGACCCGTCCGTCCATCCGTCTATCCCTTCCTCGCCCTGAACCCGAGAGAGGCAAGTACACTGTGCCGAAAACATTCCATAATAGCAAAAGGGCGAGCCGCAGGGACGCAAGGCGCACTCGCTGACGTGTGGATCCGGAACCAACGTCAGGTGGCCGTCAGGGGATCCGGCTCCGAGCCGCAGGCAGGCAGAAAAAGAGCGAGCGAGCGAGCCAGAGCGCGCGCCCCGCCCGAGCCCGAGGGCGGCCGGGCG